CGAGGACAGCTTCAGCGACGCGCGGCTGGCCGACCAGGTCCAGCAGGCGCGCAAAGACAAGCTGAAGATCGTCATGGCGCACGAGAACGACCCGGACCTCGGCGGCTGCGAGTTTGGCAGAATGTTCGAAGTCACGCCGCAGGAGCTCATCGCCGACGGGCTCTACAAGACCCTGGCACGCTCGTGCTTCCCGGGGCGCCACCACCCGGCGCGCGCTTTGTCTCTCACACATCTCGCCTTGCGCACTGGCGGGACTCACCAGCCAGGGCGTTCCGTTCCGCAGGTGTCGCTCGCGCTTCTGGCAAAGGACCTCGGCGCGACTCCCGCTCAGTCGGGCAGTGTCGCAAGGATGAGCCGCCTCTCGGGCAGCATCGCCAAGCGTGGCAGCCGGCTCGTTCCTACGATCAGCCGCCGCAGCTCTGCGAAGACAACCACCGCGGGCGACGGCTCTGGAGGCGAGGCGACGGTCTCGGTGGTCTCGGAGGAGTCCGCGGTCTCGGTGCAGGCGGCGCAGGAGCATGTCTAACTCTTCGGCGGCCGCACTTACGGCAGACGCCACAGCACACAGACGCCATCTTGAGCAATTCACATGAGCAGGCACAGCGACCCGCCGGGGAGGAGGGGCGGGAGGCGTTTGCCGCGTCGGCGACCCACATGGGTCTGGGTCCATATCCGCCGCGCGCTCTCGCAGTGATGGGGGCTTTTGCGCAGCGGTGTGCTGCGCGGCGAGCCTTTCTCTGGAGCGGCGAGGCGTAGTTTGGGGGGGGGGGGGGGGTAGGCCGGCACAGCTGAGGCTCCGTCGCCGTACTCGCGTGCTTACTCCGTGTCCCGTGCGTCGTTGCATTTCCTTGAGCGGTGGCTACTGGCAGGGTGTGGCTCTTAGTTGCGCCGTGAGCGCTGGAGTTGATTCATGATTGTAGAATGATGTGCGAGCCTCCATTGATTGTGCGGTGAAGAGGCCCCCAGACGCCACTCCACCGCGACAGTCCGACTCCACACTCTCCAGGTCCAGCCAGACCGTACGTATGGGGTCAGGGCACAGGTGGGGTCAGCTGACGTCAGGCTCGCACCGGTCCCGCGCCGGCGACGGCCCCGCCAGAGGTCAACCGAAAAAGCTGACGCAGAACCCACTTTAGAGGGGTCAAACCCCCAGCCAAATGCACAATCATCCCTCACAAGACCCAGAAGCCTGTCTGTATAGAGACGATCCAGAGCCGTAGTGAGTCTAGAGACTAAAGTTCGAGTGCGCCGAGAGAGCTCGAGCTCCTCTCGACGCGACTCGCGAGCGCCGTGCCCGTGGGGAAGCGATCGATTTCCATCCAGGAGGTGGGACGCCGAGCTGGACATGGGGAGGTTCGTACTCTAGGTCTAGCAAGGTGCGCGCGCGGCGGCGACAAACAGGTGAACGAACGAACTCACATATCGGCCGGCACTCAGTACAGAGAGGGGCCCCAAACCCCAGCCCAATGCGCCACTACAAGACCAGAACTTACACGGAGAGGGGCTAAACCCCCAGCCCAATGAAAAAAAAATTGCTTTCGAAGAAAAACGAGCACGCATAGTCTCCCCCCTCCATTCTCTCCCCCTTGGCGTGTGGCGCGCCTCTCCCCCCAGCTCTCGGTATCGCGTACTGCACGAGGCTACCGTGGGCCCCGCCTGCGCGCTGGGGGTTCCCTGCCCTGTCGGGCAGCCTAGCTCTGAACCTGGGGTCGCTACCTAATGCGGGGCGAATGAGTGATGAAGTTAGTGCCTTGGTGTGCCCGTTCCTCGTTATGGCTTCCCCTGGTCTCGCGACCATGAATGAGAGCTCTCACTCCCAGGGTACTCCCGCGTATCTGGCTCCCTTATATCCCCCCCCTCTTCCCCCCCCTTTCTCTCTCCGAGATGACCCGTGCTCTACGTGCCTAGGGTTGGTCTTCGGGGAGGGGGGATTGTCGGTGTGTCCTCGCGAGTTTTCTCGCTGGGCGCCCAACAGCTTCGATTTCCCTCCTTAGCGCCCCGGGTAGAGCGTGGTCTCCCCTGGAGCCTGCCACGCCCGTTCTGTCTAAGCCCAGGGTTCAGCTTTCCAGTTGATCCTTATCGGACTGGTGAGTTCCTTCTACGGGCTCGGAGTGGCTCTCTCTCCACGCTCTGCGTGGGCTCACGTCATTATCCTCAACGATTGTGCCCAAGACCAGCGCAAACGCATCAAAGTGGAAGTACCTGCGCGCGCGGGCAGGGAAATGAGCAATCGGCACGTGCATTGCTGCGGGGCAGGGGCGCTCACGAGTTTAGCACATCCCAGACGCTGGCCAGTTGGTGGTTGGCCTTGGTGACGGCGATCGTTCCTGAGATAATGGCCAAGCAGACCAGAGACATGACCACGGGATACTTCCCCGGCGGCAGCGCGGAGATGCGGACCATGGCCAATGGCGGATGAGAGAGACGACCTATGGGGAGGTAAGAGTGCCAAAAGGACGGTGTGGATGTGGATCGTTGTGAACGCGGGTCTCCCCCCATCCCCAGGGCCTCCAGGGCTCGCACCTCAACCTCTCATAGACCAGCGCACAGCGCCAGAGGAGGTATTTTCTTCTCAATAACAAGGCTGTGAACATGAGGGTGGTGCCTCGTGAAACGGACCCGCCGGCCAATGAATCGAAAGGCCCACCCACCCACCCACCACTGCCACCAGAGCTGGGAGCTGGCATTTCCTACCTAGCGTTCCTTGTTGTGTGTCCGGGTCTGGCCCCTCAATACAGCCAGCATATGAGCTCATCCATCTGCCTGGGAGCCAGACAGACCGATAAACGGCACACGGGACCTATCTACCCAATCACAACACTGGGCACGGGACTCGACTGGTACGCACGCACGAACACAGGTACACCACGGGAGCCGCCTAAGCAGACTCCCGCGAGGGAAAGAAACGATAAACGGCATGTCAGAACTCGCACTCTAGTCTCTACATCTTCTCAATCGCAGTCAATCGGCCGCCCCTCGATCGACCGTCACGCGGAGAGGAGAAGGATAGAGCCCATCTTCCGCCGCGTTGCCGGCCGTCCGCTCTCCGTCGCCCTCCGAACACCCTAAACACGCCGTGTTGCACGTTTCCTGCGCCTGCGCCGAGCCCGCATCAGCAGCGAGCGGCTCGACGAGCGGCGACATGCGGCCGTGCTCGAGTGGATACGACTCCGACTTCGGCTTGAGCAGGAAGTCGTGGTACAGCAGCGTGGCGCATTGAGCGCCCGCCACAAACAACAACCACCAAGACGGGCTGGTGGTGGCCGTTCCGAATGGGCTGGCATAGAGAGCGAGGCCGGCGAGGGACGCTCCGCAAATCGTGCTTAAGATGGTCGCCGCCGCGTACAGCGTCTGCGCTCGCTCCTCGGCGTTGAGTCCGTGGTCGCTGACAGCGTAGAAGAGCATCTTGGCGCACTTTTGGAGGTTACCGGTCGTTAGCGTGGTCATCATGAAGACCTTGCCCTCGAGCAGAGTATTGGGCGAACTCACAAAGTTCATCGCGCCAAGCGAGGCAGACACGGGGCACGCGGCCCACCTGCTCTCAAACAGCAAGTCGAGCACCGCGGCTGCCGCCGTCAGGGCAGCGAGGAGCAAGGAACCCACGCGAACGGGCCAGCGTGTGACATGGGCGAGGGCGCAGAACAGGAAGACGCCAAAAAAGTGCGAGGCGATCATCGCCAGCTTGTAAGAGATTGTGGCGAAAGCACCCGGCAGCGACTGCACGAAGATGGCCTCGCCAATGAAGATCATGTTACCCGTCTGCAGGCCAGCGAAGCTCTCGAAACGAACCCAAGTGATCACGTCGGCGAAGCCTGAGATGAGCGCGAGGGCGACGACCAGCGCGAGGGTGCCCGACGGCGGCGACATTCTCGGGAGTCAAGGGCTGGGCTGAACAGCGTGCCACCCTTGTGGAGGGAGGGGAATAGAGTTTATTTATACCAAAAGGAGGGCTACACGACGCCCTCTACGCTGGGGTGCCGGCGCAATAGAGTTTTGCAAGGATTGGCTTACGCACTCTTCACACAGGGGCACTCACAGCAGACTGTGAAGGTTCACGGGGCCGACTACAGTGTACAGCGGGGAGGAGTGGATTCTAGAGCTACTGTAGGAGTGGATTCTAGCTGTCCTACTGTCCTCGCTGTCCTACAGCGGGGACTATCGCTACGTCAGGGAGGACAAGGACGTTGACGTGCAGCTGCTGCTGTTCGACTCGTTCGGCGGGTTCGGGAAGGGTGTCCGTGAGATCCTCCGGAAGGCGGCGGACGTGCTACAGAACAAGCTGACGCGGGCCCAATACCTCGATGAGGTGACTTGGACCACTAAGAATTGGCTGGGGCTGCAGAAGCAGCGCATCTCAGTCGTTCTTCACACGACAATCGCAGAGCAGGTTGTGAATGAGCTTGCCTGTGGCGAGGCGGACGGGTGCACGGAGCTTGCTAAGTGCCTCGCCGCCCTCGCGGGAGTCGCTTAGGCGGCTCCCGTGGTGTACCGGTACCTGTGTTAGTGCCAGTGCGAGCCAGTCCCGTGCCCAGTGTCGTGCGAGGGAGTTTTGTTGTAAAATTCTAGAGCTCTAGGACGGCCCAGGTTGAGCGAGTTTTCTTCTTTTTGGGCCCTCGCAGGTGTGAGCCTGTTCGTGTCTGTGTGTCGCTCGGTCCTCGGCCGTCGCTCGGTGCGTGCCGTCATCATCTGTCCAGCGTCCACCCATACCGCGTTGGTGTCCAGTCCGAGCCTGGCTGTTCTTCACCTTCCTACCTAACCTAACCGCAGGTAGTCGCTTAGGCGGCTCCCGTGGTGTGTAGACTGTAGTGAGCATATTTGGCGAATCACACTCCACCAAAAGGGAGACGACGGCGAACCCAACAACGACTCAGCAATCTAGCTAGATAGAACAACTCGGCGCCCGCTCGGCGCCATCGCCAAAAAGCAAACAACAAATCGGCGCAACACTGGACGCAAGCCATTCACAGACACCAGCTAGGAACCATGGGTGTGTGCCGTCCCTAATGAGCTGCCCCCCACGACGTAATGGAGCATGCCGTTGGCGCAACCGGCGCGCCCGTCGAGATGCGTCGCCGCGCTTTGATCGCGACGAACGCGAGAGCGCCGAGGGCAGCGCCGACGACAGCAGCGGCGATGGGCACGGATGCCCTTTCAGAATCCTCCGCCGGGTTGTGCTGCCAGATAAGACCAGGGAGACAGTCTCTCAAGGCCACGCCAGAAAGGAACCGGATTGGCTTCGTGCGATCGAAGCGGAAGTCGCGCCCTCCCCTTCCAGCGCCACCGAGCAAAGCAGAGGCGGCGTCTTCCGCTGAGGCGGGCGCCGTCAGCAGCGCCGCCCACAGCCGCTCCGTGTAGTGCCCCTCCTCGATGTTGTCGCCTCGCGTGAGGGCATTGCGCAGGGCGCGCCAGTCTCTGCGCGACTGACGGTGCACGCTCGTTGCGGTTGTGGCGAAGGTGCCCCCGTAGCACACGAGACGCAGTGGATGGAGCGCGGAGTCCAAGTGGCTCGCCGCGGCGCGGGAGAAGGTGGTCTCCACAAACCGCCGCAGTGGGCGTGACGGCGAGATGAAGGGGGCGCTCTGCGCGGCGAGACGGCTCTGCTCGTGCTCTCGGTGGTAGTCTACCAAGCGAAACTCGTCCGCCTCGTGCGCCGCGTGCCATAGTGACTGCGCGCGCTCGCGCGGCACAAGGTTAGTGGGCGGCTCACTGCCACATGCAAAACCATCCTTCGACGCCTGCAGCTCAGACCCAACAAGATGGATGGGCAAGGGCGTATTTTTCCCGCTGCGAGGGCCGGAGGCGGCTCCCGCCGAGGTGTCCTTGAGAAAGAAGATGGACGCAGGGAGCGTGTCGTAGCGGGTCGCGATAAAGTCGGCGAAGGTGTGGTCGTTGCGGCCCACGTTCCTTGCCGATCTGACTGTGGCTCCACTCGGAACTTCGGATGCATTCGGCCGTCGCCCGCATTTGCACACCACGTGGACTCTGGAGACGCTGGCCCCGAGGCACGTCAGGTCGTCCACCGCGCCCTTCAGCCAGGCGAGGGGCGCCGTGCAATACGATACCACGAGCTCGGTCGCGCCAAGCTCGCGTCGACGCCGAAAGGGATACGGCGCCGGACATGGGATGCTGGTGGTGGTGGCTGCCGTCTCCAAGGCGGGTTGGATCATAGATCTATCGACACGCCGTCACTAAGGAGAGGTTGCAGTGAGTCGCCGTTTACGTGAACGATTGCAAAAAGGAATTTTTGAAGCCGAACAGCGGAATTGTCAGCGCGATCCTGCAGAGGTGGGGACGTATTTATTCATTTAGACGGCGCAGCAGGGCAGGACAGGGGTCCAGGGGGCGTGCCAAAGTTTCTTTTGTTTAAATTCTTTTGTATACTCGACAACGAGCAGATACACACACGACCGCGACCGGTCATTCACTTACTCACTCACTCACACTCACTCACTCACAACCGCGCGCCCAGCACATTCTTCCATGGAAAGAGATCCAAAATAATAAATACAATTCTCTGTGAGACGGCGCACGGCTCTTTTCCTCTCTCTCCCGAGCCGGCCGCGGCGCCGTCTCGGGCGCCGTCCGTCGGGTGCATTGGTGTACAACTCGACTTCCTGCCCTTCCCGCTGCGCCGAGGAAGCAACCTCCATTTCCTGAGGTAGCTGTGACCCGATGCCTTCATTGAGTGAGGCTACCATGGCCTGGCGCAACTGCTCCTCCTCCTGCAAGTCGCCAATGCCCATGCCCTCGGGCCGCCAGCGGCTTGTCGTTAGTGGGGGAAATGGTGATTTTTAAATGAACGCCTCGCGCAAAACCACCGCTACCATGCTCCAGAAGACCCTTGTGGGCTATCATAAACACCCAAGATCACGCGCTAACTCTAAAGTGGGCCCGAGATATGCCCGTCAACCCACGGATTTTTTCTGCCCGCGCGGGAGCCTGGGCCCGGCGGCGCACCAGCGGTCGTGGACGCGCTGCCGAGCTTCGCGGTAAAGGTACGCGCTTCCGAGCTCCGCGGAGATAGAGCCCATGCCCCACGACCTGCGCCAAAGAAACTTGACCTCGCTGAACGGTCGGCACTCGTCCGGGCCGCGGCAGTAGGACCAGTCGACGCAATTGATGTCAAGCGCCCAGGGCCATCGTGGGGCGCCTGGGCTGCAGACGCACCGCCGCACCACGGGATCGGGCGTCGGCAGCTCCGGGAAGGCCGCCTTGAGCTGGTGGATCGCGCGCCTATAGCTGGCTCTAGCCGCCAGCCCCCTCGCCTCGGCCTCTTCTGCCTCCGTCAGGTCGTCGTACTCCTCGGAGAGATCGGGAACTACCCAGTCGCCTAATCTTCCTCGGCCGACAATCGTCCCATCTCTCACACAATCCTCGAAATCGCGGGCCGCCACCACGGCTTCGGCCGCGAGCGTGGAGCCGAAGATGCCCTCGGGCCGCGTGTCGCCGACCATCAAGCAGTAGTCGTCCACCTCCCGCGCGACGATCACCATCTCCTCCTTCGCCTCGCTCTCGAAGACTTCGGAGTCGTCATCGATAAGCTGATGCAGCCAACAGCGACCGCCCTGCTGGAGCAACCGCCGCGCCACCGCCGCCTCGTGCTCTGCCGTCATGAGCAGGAGGCGGTTCGCCGTCTGATCGGGCGCTGCCGGCTCGACCTCCATTTCCGACTCGTTGTGGGGCTCGGCGGGCGGCTCCGGCGCCTCGGTGGCGACCGTGGGCTCGACGGAGGCAGCGGCCACCTCGGAGGCCTTGCGTCGCTTGCGCCTCTCCGCTTTCGCGGTCAGCGGCATCGTGCAGCGGTCGTGCAGCGGTCGTGCCCCTTTCCTGAGGGCGGAGGTGGCGGCAGCCGTCAGGACTGCGCCGAGGCACCCTCGGCACCATCGGAGGAGGGTGCATCGCGTGCCAGCGGAGGCGGGAGGGTGATGGCTGTGAGCTGAGAGGGACACAAAGAGGCCAAAACCGAACAGAATGGCGGCCACCTGCCCGACTCAGCCGCAGCCCGAGAAAATTTATTCCGAGACTGAGCCATTTCCCCCACTATTGTCGTGCCACCCGAGTCGTCGCCGTCCTCGGGAATGCCGCTGAGGTTGTCATCGTGCTCGACGGCCCAATGCTCGTGCAGTTCATGCAGCGTCAGGAGTGTGGCTCGGATGCCTGCCTGTGTGCTGACGTCGCTCCGAGCGGACAAAACCGTGGTAAGGCTTTGGCCATCGCCCTCCACCTGTTGATCTTCCGGCAACCACTGCCAACAGCTCACCTCCTGCATCTCGCCGGTATCCGCGACCTCATGCTCAACATGGCTCACCACGAGGTTAGCGTCCAGCCGTGCCTCGACCCAGTCTGTGTAAATCGCCACAGCGCTAGCTCGCTGCTCTGGCGCTGCTGCCTCTAGAAGCGCCTCAAACACAGTGCCGAGCGTGTGGTCGCTGCGACTATTGGCGTTTTGCATGTACGCCGCCGGTAGGTCGGTGCCTAGGCGCATGAACCAGGCCAGAGAAGTGTTGGCTTCCAGCCGTTGCCTCGCTCTGGTGAGCTCACCCGCGCCAGCAGAAGGTGGCGCATCTTCCATGATACGCTGGCTGAGCAGCGCCTTCAAACGCGCGTCGCCCATCCAAGCTGCGCGCCTCGCACGCGAGTCTTCAAGGCAAGCGGCGCAAACTTCGTGCGCGGCAACACAAAAGAGGTCGCACAGCTTGTACGGGCTCTCTGTCAGCCCAATCAAGTGCTCAATAGCACCAAGCCGCTCCTCCACCGTTCGTGTTCCATCACTCGTCACACCGAGACTTAGCTCGAGCAGGTCGACCCGCTGCGAGAGATCTCCGTCCGCGGAAGGCTCACCCCACATTGCCTCTTCGCACCGAGCCACCCGGCGCCACAGTACTTGCTCGCTCGTCGACATGCGGGCGTTTCACCTCGTTTCACTTGCGCGAGAGCGTCGCCTCGGCCTCGAATTTCGTGATTTTTTTCTTGGCGGTGACCTAGGCGGCAGGCGTGAGGGAGGGGCCGCGACGGTGAGGGCGGTCGCGGTGAGGGCGGTGGCGGAGAGGTCGGTGGTGGCGGTGGCGGTGGCTGCGGTGGCGGTGGCGGTGGCGATGGCGGTGGTGGCGGTGAGGGCGGCGGCGGTGGCGGCGACGGCGACGGTGGCACTGTCGCACTGAGTGAGGATCAGAGAGACTAGAGAGGATGGCTGCGAGGGAGGGTGGCGGTGGGGGCGGCGGTAAGGACTGACGCACAGGTTATGTATGTATGTAGGAAGGTGAAGAACAGTCAGGCTCGGACTGGACACCAACGCGGTATGGGTGGACGCAAGACAGATGATGACGACACGCACGAGCGTTGTAAGGACTTTTTTGCGCGTGGTATGTATATGCGTGGTGCTTGAAAAGAAAGAAAGAAAGAAAACAGACACGCGAAACGAGGGATGGGACGAGGACAAGCGCTTGAGCTGCCGCGCTCGCACTAAAATTTCTTCTTTTCCAATTTGCGAGCAGGCGGCGCCTGGACAGCTGCTCATCACCGATATGACCGACTGGTGCACCATCGAGTCCGACCCCGGCGTCTTCACCGAGCTCGTCGAGCAGATGGGCGTCAAAGGCGTCCAGTTTGAGGAGGTCTACTCCCTCGACAGCGGCTCGATGCAGGCGCTTGGCGAGGTGCACGGGCTCATCTTCCTCTTCAAGTGGCAGCAGGACCTCGCGCAGCAGGACGATCGACCGACCGTGAGCGCTCGCCCCACACAGTCGCAGCCTTGCACCGGCGCCGCGGCGTCCGCTGGCGGCACCGCTCCCAGCGGCCTGTGCACGCTGGCCCTCGGCAGGCGTCTGGATACGAGGACCATCTCTTCTTCGCCAAGCAGGTCATCACGAACGCCTGCGCCACCCAGGCCATCCTCTCAGTGCTGCTCAACTCGGAGAAGGTGCTCTCTCCACCCTCGCCGCCGCCGCTGCCGCCGCCTCTGCTGCCGCCAGCCTCGCTCCCACCGTCACCGGACGCCGGCACTGGCTGGTGCGGTCGTCTCTACCGCATGGTCGCTCCACGAGCCAAGCTGGCCTCCCGTAGGTCGAGCTGGGTGAGGAGCTCTCCAACTTCAAGGCGGACGCCCCCACCACCGCGCCTTCTCCTCCCCGCTGCCTCTCTCCTCCCCGCCGCCTCTCTCGTCGCCTGCCGCCTCTCTCTCCTCCCCTGCCGCCTCCGTCACGACCGCACCCTTGGCCAGCACCTCCCTCACCACCGCTCCCCGCTGCCGCCAAGGGCTTCACCAAGGAGTTCGACTCGGAGACCAAGGGCTCCGCCGTCTCCAGCTCCACTCCTCACACGAGATTGCCCGAGATCACCCGAGATTGCCCGAGATCACCCGAGATTGCCCGAGATCACCCGAGATTGCCCGAGATCACCCGAGATTGCCCGAGATCACCCGAGATTGCCCGAGATCGCCCGAGCTCCTCCGACGTGTAGGCCTCGCCATCTCCAACTCGGACCTCGTCCGCACGGCACCTCCAACTCAGACTCCAACTCAGACTCAGACTCCAACTCAGACTGCGCCTCGCCGCCACACACTGCAGTCGGCCCCGTGAGCCTTCACGCCGCTCTCTCACTCTCACAGTCTGCGGCGAGAGCCCCGATGTGAAGAGCGCGTGTGAGGGGTTGAACTCTCACTGCGCGCCGCCGCCGCACGGCTCGCGGCGGCACCTCTCCTCCCACGCCGCACCGGGCCGGTGCTTGCACTTTGAATGCCGTGGGGCTCCTGCCCGTGTCCCGGGCGTGGAGATGCGAGGGTCGCCCCCCCTTGCCCCACCACTTTGTGTGTGTGGAGACGTTTACCTTACCTCACCTTACCTCTCCGGCGGCGTCAGGCGCACAACTCGTTCGCGCCCCCCGACCCCTTCATGTCGGACAACAAGCGCGTGGCGACCAAGGACGACGACCTCTACCACTTCATCGCCTACGTCTCGCAGAGCCGAGATTCGCCGAGATGTAGCCGAGATGTCGACCTCCGCCACTCCACCGCCCGCGTCGCCTCCGCGCGCGCGCCGTCCGCGCGCGCGCCGCCGGCGCCGCGAGAGCGCGGCGCCTCGCCGGAACCTTCTCGGAGCCTTCCCCGCAGGTGCCGGTCGCAGGCAAGCTCTACGAGGTACCCTTCCGACACCCTTCCGAGACCTATTGACACACCCTTCCGACACCCTTCCGACACCCTTCTGACACACCCTTCCGACACCCTTCCGAGACCCTTCTGACACACCCTTCCGACACCCTTCCGAGACCTATTGACACACCCTTCCGACACCCTTCCGACACCCTTCTGACACACCCTTCCGACACCCTTCCGAGACCCTTCTGACACACCCTTCCGACACCCTTCCGAGACCTATTGACACACCCTTCCGACACCCTTCCGACACCCTTCTGACACACCCTTCCGACACCCTTCCGAGACCTATTGACACACCCTTCCGACACCCTTCCGACACCCTTCCAAGACCCTTCCGACACCCTTCTGACACACCCTTCCGACACCCTTCCGACACCCTTCCAAGACCCTTCCGAGACATGCGCCCGTGGCTGTGTCCGCGACACTTGCACTGCCGCGGCCACCACCCGTGCCCCCCCCCCCCCCCTCCCTCCCACAGCTTGACGGGCTAAAGCCGGGGCCGGTGCTGCTCCGCGAGCTATCGTAGTACCCTACCCAACCCGGTACCCAAACCCGACGAATAAAATAGGTGCTGCTCGGCGAGCTGCCGCAGGGAGCAGACTGGCTCGAGGCAGTGGCGCCGGCCATCCAGGCACTGCCGCGGCCTATACCTCGGCCGCACCTCGGCTGCACCTCGGCTGCACCTCGGCTGCACCTCGGCCGCACCTCGGCTGACCCTCGGCTGCACCTCGGCTGACCCTCGGAGGCACCTCGGCTGACCCTCGGCTGCACCTCGGCTGCACCTCGGCTGCACCTCGGCCGCACCTCGGCGGCACCTCGGCTGCACCTCGGCTGCACCTCGGCCGCACCTCGGCTGACCCTCGGCTGACCCTCGGCTGCACCTCGGCTGCACCTCGGCTGCACCTCGGCCGCACCTCGGCCGCACCTCGGCCGCACCTCGGCTGCACGTCGGCTGCACCTCGGCCGCACCTCGGCCGCACCTCGGCTGCACGTCGGCTGCACCTCGGCCGCACCTCGGCTGCACGTCGGCTGCACGTCGGCAGCACCTCGGCCATCTCGAGCCTCGCCCGGTGCCTTTGCCGCAGGCGCGCATCGAGCGGTACTCGCAGAGCGAGATCCGGTTCAACCTGATGGCGATCACCGCCAGCCGCGCGGACGAGCTGCGCAAGCAGATCGCTAGCCTGGCCGAGGGAGACGCCGCGCTCGCCGAGCGGCGGCAGCAGCTCGCGGTGGAGGAGCAGAAGCTGGCGCGGTGGAAGGCGGAGAACGTGCGGCGCAAGCACAACTACCTGCCCTTCCTCATCAACCTGCTCAAGGTGCTCGCAGAGAAGCAGCAGCTCGTCCCGCTGATCGACGCGGCCAAGGAGAGGCAAAAGCAGAGGGCGGCTGCGGGCGGCGGCGCAAAGTGAGAGAGAGAGAGGAGGCTCCCCTCGACCCACGGTGCATATGCATACACACATCATAAACACGTGTACAAGCTAGGCCGTATTAAAGTTTTATATAAAGTTGCGAAACATATCTCACGAATACTTGATTTTTTCCCGGCTGTCGGATTTTTCCGCGCCTCGAAATTCCTAACAATCGCCTCGCCGCTCCACAATGCCTTTCTCCGTTGCCTCCAGCCGCGCGGCGCCATCGTCCTCGATCCAGTGCCGGCCTGTGACAAGCTTGGCAGCTCGCGGATCGACGATCGCCACGAGCTGCTGCCCGGCGACCGCCGCTCGCCTTCGACGACAGTCCTAACAATCGGCGGTGAGCGGCACCTCCTTGGCCCAGCACCGGTGTTGTCACGTCTCAGCTGCTTCATTGCCATGTCCAGTTATGGCGGAGACGCGCTGATAGCATTCCTGTGCACGCAGTTGGACCTGCACGGCCATCGGGTGCGTGGCGCAAAAAGACCTGTTTGCGCTGTCTTCGATATCAGCGGCTACATGCGCTGCTGCGCGTACCTGTGACGCACACATGTTGATCACATCCATATACTTCACTAACATACAGCTGGCGAGCCTTGCATCCCTCGTCTGGCCATGCTGTGCATCATCTCACCGTATGCAGCCGTATACGCCCACGGTGCTCACAGGGTCGGGCGTCACGGTGCTCGTGGCAAGCATCTCCGTCACTCTTGTGACTTGTGGGCTTGGTGGTGTTGCCTCCGGTGCTACTGCTAGCTAGGGTGCCAATGGCGCGACGGGAGGCGGCCATTGGCGCCACTACAGCAACGATTGTTAGGCCGTGGAAAAATCCGGAATTCGTGCCCCGAACCGGCCGACACGTGGCCGCATATATGTGTATATACCACGTCCGTATGGGCTGCACAAGCCAAACCACGCTCATCACAGCTTGCCACAGTGTGGCCCCTGGCAGTGGTAAGCCATTCTTGGTGTACCAGCTCACAGGAGGGCCGCTTGAACACGATTGTTAGACGGCGTGAAAAATCAAGTATTCGTAAGATACCCTGTGGCCTGTGCGCTGTGGCTTTTGGGCGCTTAGCGACGGGGATGGTGACGGTGACGCGGTGGCGAGGGAAGAGGAAGGGGGTCCATTAGCACCAGACAGCGAGAGGGGCAGGGAGGAAAGGGGGAGAGAGGAAGCCAACGGCGATGCCAGAAGCGGCAGGGGACACGATGAACAGGTAGACAACGGCCAAGACGATGGCGAGGACGAGGAGACACGGGACGACGGCAGGCGAGACGAGGAGGACGGAGGCGAGGGAAGAGGCAGCGCCACAGTCGACGGAGGCGACAACGATGGAGAGGGGGAGGGAACGAAAACGCGCACAGAGGATGAGGATATAAACTGGGACGACGCAGCGGAGGGGATGGCTTCGTGAAGGATGGATTAAAAAACATTCGAACAAAGAAGAGGCGACGGGAGGAACCGGCAGAGGATGCAGTGACGTGACACACACACACACACACACACACACACACACACACACACACACACACACACACACACACACACACACACACACACACACACACACACACACACACACACACACACACACACACGGAAATCAGCCGTGCCCCCATGGGCAAAGTTAAGATGCGGGTCCTTGTTGCCGCTTGCGCACTGCCCCCAGACGACTTGCAAGAATAGGATTTGCAGCAGCAGTGCGAACAGCGTCACGACCCGCCCAGTCATTCTGCTAGGGCGCGTGCGTGCCCTCTCCCGCGTTCTCCCGCTGGGACCTGATCGTTCGCGCGTCGTCGTCGTAATGAATCGGATCCGTATCATGGATCGGGTTTTGGGGGGGGGGGGGGGGGGGGGGTTTTTCGAAAACCCCTGCCACACACACTGTCACACACGTGAATCATTCGAGATTCGTGTGCGGGATCCGATCTTCGGGTCCTCCGGCGCCACGTCGACTCGGTCTCGAGTCCTCGTGCAGCGCTCCTTCCGGGACCGGGTTCCGCCTCGCGGCGGACGCGGGACGCCCGCGGACACGGCAGCCGAGCGGGGAGAGCGCGGAGGCCGTCGCGGCGCCCAGTGTCCCGATCCTGACTCCACAGTGCTGCTCAAACTCAAACTCGTCAGTTACAATTACTCAGTAGACTCTCTGTGCCAGCGCTCCGCTCCCCCCACGTACTCCAAATCTCTCTAACTCGCCAGAGTGTACTTTTGCGCAAGCCCAGCTTGCACAGCGTGCACAAGGCTCGAGCCCAGCATGCGCTAATCCCCACCCCCGAATCCGTCACCGCGGCCGACGTCGCACGTCTCGAGCCGGCCGGCGTCAGTTTTGGAACAGGAAGCGCAAGTCATCCTCCGAGAGCTGCGAGAGCGAGCCGATGTCTCCGCCGACGGTGCCCTCGAAGACGAGCCGCTTCTTGTCCTGCAGGCGAAGGATGCGCTCCTCCACGGTGTTGCGCACGACAAACCGAACCTACAAAGCGAGGGCGCGGGTGGCGCTGGTGGACAGAACGGAGCTGCTGGGCGCACGGTGGCGCGGGGGCTTTGGGGGGTGGCTGGTGGGCGGTGGTGGGTGGGTGGAGAGGGTGGGTGGGGTGGGTGGGGGGCAGCTGCGGTGGCCGCGGGGGGTTGGCAGTGGCGATATGGCGCACCGCGCGGATGGGCTTGTGTTGGCCGAGCCGGTGGGCGCGGTCGATGGCTTGGTACTCGGCGGCCGGGTTCCACCACGGGTCCATGAGGTAGATGTGGGAGGCGACGGTCAGGTTGAGGGCGACGCCGCCCGCCTTGAGGGAGATGAGGATCACCCTCGTGCCAAAGTCGTCCTTGAAGGAGTTGAGCACCCCCTCGCGCGCCGCGACGGACATCCCGCCGTTGAGGCTTGAGCTTGACCACCTTGATGCCCGCGCGCTGGATGCGGTACTTGGCGCACGAGAACGACGCCGTGCGCGGCGGCTGCATCTTTGGGCGCTTTTTTGAAGTGACGCCGCGCGACCTGATTGCCGATGGGCTGTACAACGACCTCGCCGTCGGCTGCCACACCGGCCCGCATCGCCAGGTGTCGCTCGCCCTCCTCGCAAAGGCGCTCGGCGCGACCCATCAGACGGTCGACTCTAGCGTGCGCGTCGCCCTCTCCCGTCCCGCACGCCGCACCACCGCAAAGGCGCAGCCGTCGATGGGCGACGACGTTCTTCCGCCACCTCGGCTGCCCTCCGGCTGCTCCTACGAGGAGCCGGACACCCTAGCCAGCTTGGTCGTCTGAAGGCAGGCACCAGCGCTCCCTGTCTGTCGCTCCCTCCCCCCACCGTGGCGCCGCCCGGGCTCCTAGTGCGAGTCTATGTGTGGCGCCGTGGGAGTGTGCGTGTGTGTGGATTATGTGTGCACTAGCCACTACAATGTGGACTAGAGTTTAGTCGCGCGGAATCACCTCTGAGAGTGAACGGCTCAAGACATGAGATCGACCTTCGCAGTGACTGGGGTACGGGGTGTGGAGGGTGAGTTGAACAGGGGTTGTGCGCCAAGCCCTCCTGCTCGGCTCCATCCAGCGAGTAGACAAGTGTTACCATCAACAGAGGAGAAGGATATGACCTCAGGGCTGATGTGACCAAGCGCTGGTAGCGTGGTTTTACCTCACACCCATGGTCTCACAGTGTGCCGGCAGTCGCCGAGCAGTGTCGCTCACACAAGCCGCAGCACAAGTGACTGAGGGCCAGTGAGGGCGAGCCCATCGCTGTCACAGCTGTACGTGGCAGCCGCACAGTAGGCTGTGTCAGCTGTGCAGAGCGTGTGAACAGCAGAGGAGCTGCTCTCCAGGCTTCTGTCGCAAAGAGCTGCATGCCACCGAAAGCGCTGTCGAGGTTCGCCGAGCGCGGCGCAGGTTGAGGGAAGCCGCCACCGACGAGCGCGTTGGACTTTTCACTCCGGACAAAGACGGGGACACAGCGGACGGTGCGGGGTGTGTCCCCGTCATAGCGGCGAGGCGCGGGACCGTCTGTGGCGAAGTGGGCCGCGTCCTCCGATATTGTTCAACCCAGCATCCACACCCTTTAGGGGCACATCCACCTTCCTGCTGTCGCCCGCCACCCATGGCTAGCCCATACCGCGCCGGTGTCCAGTCCCCGAGCCTGACCGTGTTCTTCACCTCGTAACATACAAACGAATAGAAATTCTAACGTACAGTAGAGGCAGTACTCCGACTCTTCGAGAGACATGCTCACCCTCCCCTCCCTCTCTCATGTTCATGTTCATGTCATGTTGTGAGTCATGTCACTCGGTTGGTCGGGTGCGACGAACACCGCTTGCCCGCGGCGTTGCGGCCTCAGACGGCCCCCCGCCGCTCAGCCGAGTCGACGACCCAGAGGCAAAGACGGCCGAGTCGACTCGCCGCCGCCGCCTTCTCCTCGTTGACGAGGATGAAGAGGCCGGCTCAGACGGCTGAGCCAGAGGAGGGGACGCTGACGTCACAGGCGTGGCGTGCGTCCACGGCCTCTCTCGCCGCAGCAATCCTTGCGTCCAACGCAGCCACCGCAGGGGGCGGCCGAGGCGAGGCGCGAGGCGAGCGGGAGGCGGCGTCACTCTGCGTGTCCACCCACTCTGCCGCGGTGGCTGGTGAGGAGGAGAGGGCGGCTGGTGAGGAGGAGAGGGCGGCGGCGGCGGCGGCGGCAGCGGTGGCGGCGGCGGCATTGGAGGCGACAGCGGGGGAGGCGGCGGAGCGGATCGTAGTGGCGGCGGCGGCGAAGGCGGCATTGCGACCCTCCATTGCGGCGGCGTGCAAGTCCTGCGGCATTGCGACGCGGATCCTGCGCGCCGGCGGCAAGTCGGGCGGGACGAGGACGGTGAGCGTCGCGTCCACACCAGCGACAAAGATGTGCATCCGCTGCCCAGCGGCCAGGTCGCTTGGGATGGTCACGAGGAGCTCGGAGGCCGGCATCCAGACGGCCGCCCCACGCGAGGCCCGTCAGCGTGGCGAGGAAGAGGTCGACGTTTGTCTGGTTCCACGCCGTCAGCAGCGCGGTCTGCAGCAGCAGTGGGCTCGCGCGCATCGCGAGGCCCAAGCACACCACGGCCACGCCCACCTTGGCCGCGCAGCCGGCCCACTCGGCGCGGAACTGCGTGAGCACCGCCGGGGGCGGCGTGCGAAAGAAGGCGGGCCGCACCCACCAGTACACGTCGCCGCTGCTGTCCATGGCGCCGGTGAGCTCCGGACACGGCTCGCACCCGCGCGCAGCTCGCGGGCCCAAAAGGCGGTCAGCGCCGCAAGACGCATGTTGAGGACGGCGCTGTACGTCACGGCGAACGTGGGCGGGAGCAGCGCGGCCGCCGCCCACTCCGTCGGGTTGGAGACGCCGAGCCAGTCGAGGAGGGGGAGGAGGTGGAAGACGGTGGCGACCGCCCACCCGAGGAGCAAGTACTTTGCGTGCTTCTCCTCGGTGCCGCACCAGTAGACGACGAGGAGGCTGAGCTTGAGCGCGACGAGGCAAGCGGACGGGTACGGCGCCATCCACGCGCCCGCCACAAAGAGCAGAACGAGCGAGATGTCCCTGCTGTGGTGGCAGCAAACGCCTACCAGCGACTTGCGTCGTAAACAAGAGAGCCGGGCGTACATGCCCCCCTTGCGGTGGCAAGCACACGCCGAAGTAGAGCTCGTTCCGCCGGCTGCGGCGGCGCAGCGCCGTATCCTCGAGCGCGCGCGCGGTGTCGTGGATGTCGTGGATCACGCCTGCACACAGCTCTCTTTGTGAGCCGTCAGACGTGTCTTGATGCGCCGCCGTTCGCGGTCGCGGATGACGCCCGAGTCAGAGGCCGATGCCAGGCCCTCGATCTTGCCCGTGCAGAGGCAAGCGCCAAAGTCAAGGCAGAGCAGCGCCGCCGCCGCGAGGCAGAGGAGGGAGGGCACGTGCGACGCCACCGCCAGCACGCCGCCGCTGGTGAGCCTCGGCGCGATCGGCAGCAGCCCGAGCGCGAACGGTACCGCCGAAAGGGCTGCGCTGACCGGCCGGTCCCACACCTTCGCCGCCACCGCATCCTTTGCAAGTCGAGCCGCCGCGGTGAGCGCGATGAGCGAGAAGACCATGCTGACGAGCGCAAAGTCGCGTGCCTCGGCCGCGCCCGCCCGGCTGGTCGAGATCAGGCAGACGACGATACGGCAGACCTGGGGGCGTGTCACGAGCAAGTCGGGTGGGACGTGTCTGGTCGAGAGCAGGCAGGCGACGAAGCGGCAGACCGAGCTGCCCGCGAGGACGGCCGACGCGCCCGGAGAGAAGAGCTCGCTTGCCCGCTCCTCGCTGGAGGTGGTCGAGACGTGCAGGAAGAGCGCGAGCTGCATCACCATCCCGTCCAAGCCCGCGCGCGCCTCCGCCTCGGGGCCATCCAGCGCCGGCGGAGCAGTGGCGTCGGCGAGCGGGCCGCCGGCGTCGGAGCGCCACAGAGGCCAGTCAGACCAGCGAGGCCAGTCAGACCAGAGGGGCAAGCCGTTCGACCAGCGGTGAGCGGCGTAGGCGGCGGCGCCCTGCAGCAGCAGCTGCGGCGCGAGCAGCCTGCCGCCGCGCCGGAGGCGGCTCGCGAGCCCCTCGCAGATGCGGAGGCCGAGCATGGCGACGGCGCAGCGCGGCACAAGGAAGCTGCCTGCCGCCCAGATGCCGCCGCGGGACGCCGCCCGGAAGGAGGCGGCGAGGCGGGCGGCGGCGTCGAGGCCGACGCGCGAGCTCGCGCCGAGCATCAGCGCGAGGGAAGAGGAGCCGGTCATGCCCGATGACGAAGTGGCGGTACTGGACGTGCCCCATGGCGAGGTGGCGGTACCTGGGCACGGCAGTAACGGTGCAAGGCCCGGTGCGCGTCAGTGAGCGGTGTGGGGTTGTGTGCGTGCGTGCGTGCGTGCGTGCGTGCGTGTGTGCGCGCGCGCGTGTGTGTGGCAGTACCTGGCGTGGCGGTAGAGGGCAAGGGACGGCCCGCACGAGAGGAGGATCGCTATCCCGACGGTCGCCACGTCGACGGCCACCAGCAGCAGAGAGCCGAGGAGGAAGGCGTCGCACCTGGCGGATCATTGCTCATTCCTCGCGAGTTCCGACCGACTGCTCGCGGGATGGCAACGCACCAGACGAGGACGACGCGGCAGGCGAAGAGCGGGAGGAGCAGGCCGTCTCGAGCCAAGCCCGTCTCGGGGCCGCCGATGATGCGCTCCGCGAGCGCCGGGTGCGGCACGCCGAGCTCCAGGCTCTTCTCGGAGCCGTATACCACCGCAAGCCACGCGAGCACCGAGAGGCAGCCGGTCCCGACCACGCTATCGACCTCGCTGGTGCCGGTCCCGACCGCGCCAATGTACACGGTAAAGTCCCACAGGCGGCAGAGAGAGCTCCACAGGCGGCCGAGAGAGAGGCCGCCGGACGATTCGCCGACAGAGTCGCCAGCGCCGTCGCCGGAGTCGCCAGCGCCGTCGCCGGAGTCGCCGGCGCCGTCGCCGGAGTCGCCGGCGCCGTCGCCGGAGTCGCCGGCGCCCTCGTTGCGGACTGCAGACGGGCAGTCTGGGCCGGCGCATTCCACGGCTGCTGCATCCGCCTCGACCCACACAAACGTGTCGCACCGTCACAGAAGGCGTCGTCGAAAGAATTTCAAAAACGCAGGAAATTCCTGCGTGGTGGCGGCGTGCCGTCCTCCATCCCTCTTTTACGCTTCTTTCTTTTTTCGTGGCCCATCTCGAGGTTCTCGAGGAGGATATCCTTTGGCCGCGTTGGGTAGGTTCTCGAGGTTCTCGAGGTGGATATCCTTTGGCCGCGTTGGGTAGCGAGGATTGGTGTAACCCGAGCCACGGAGGCGTGTTTTCTGACGGCCGACCGTCAGTGCACGGAGTTGCCCCTTCTCCGACTGCCCCGGCTAGTTCCCGAGGTCGCGCGGGAGTGACCCCTGCGTCCCCCGAGACCTAGCGCGGGTGGGTTGGAGGGGGCTCGCCCCGCTCCTCCCCATCGGGCCGCATGAGCGGCCACGCCTCGCAGATCGAGGATTGGTGTGACGCGATCCACGCAGGCGTGTTTTCTGGCGGCCGACCGTCAGTGCACGGAGTTGCCCCTTCTCCGACTGCCCCGGCTAGTTCCCGAGGCTCGCCGGGTTTCCCCTACGTCACCCAGGACCTAGCGCGGGTGGGTTGGAGGGGGCTCGCCCCGTTCCTCCCCATCGGGCCGCATAAGCGGCCACGCCTCGCAGATTCGTTTCTCGCGCCTGGGTCAGGCGCGCGGGGCATCCCCCGGGTCGCTCGACACGACCAGCGATCCGAAGAGTGGCCGCTATGCGAAGGAAAGAGTGGGGCCCTCGGGGTACGCCTCGTCCGGCCCCCTCCGAGGGGGGAAGGGAATTGCGGGGTCCCCTCGGGCGCCTCAGTTCGGCCCTCCCGAGGGGGGGAGGGGAGCAAGGGGGTGGGGGGATTGGGGTGGTGGGGAGGGGTCTCGGATTTCATGTGGCTAAGACTTGCCTTTCGGGGAGGGGCCTCCGTGCAGGCGAGTCCAGCTCAACCCGACGTCTTCCCCTCCTCCCTCGAGGCAGCGAGTAGGCAGCGAGAGGAGGTCTCGAGCGCCTATATGAAGGTATGTGAGATGGTGATGGGAATGGGTGTGGTCGGTCGGTCGGTCGGGCGGTCGGTCGGGCGGGCGGGCGGGCGGGCGGGCGGGCAAGCGGGGAGAGGCGGGCGGGCGGGGCGGAGCGGGCGGGCGGGGTGATCGGAGAAATCGTAGCCACAATCAGCAGCAGCGGAGCAGCAGCAGCAGCAGCAGCTGATGACATCGCCCAAGTAAAGTTTCGTGTTTTGGTCACGACCGAATTTTCGGCCGGGCCCTAGCAGCTCGACAACAAATTGCGCGTTGAAGCCGGCCGCCTCCTCCTTGGTGGACACGTTTACGAAAGCTGGGCATCCAATGCTCGAGTCGGCGCTGTTTGTTCCGCACAGGTGGCCCGGGTTCCTGACGCCGAAGGCAGAGTCCTGGACTGCAGTGAGCTTGTACAACCCCGCTCCCTTGCTTTCGATTTGAAACACCGTGGCTTCTGTGATCGGGCGAGGAATTTTGACAGTTATGTCCTCGACGACAAGGTTGCCCGACGAGTCCGCGGAGGGCGAGCAGACGATTTCGCTCGACGAGTCCGCCATCCCGCACTTGTGGGGTATGGCAAATTCCTGGTTGGGGAGCGTAGTTCCGTCAGCGTACGTGCTGCGGTCGTTCAGCGCCCACGCCTGCAAGGTGAATTCCCCCCTTCTCTCGCTCGGCACGAGGGAGAAGACAAACGGGAGGAACGAGTCGCTCGTGTCCTGGTTGTTGAAACGATCCTGGAGGTACTTTCCGGTGTACTTTGCGCTCCCGTCGCATGTTATGGTGTAGTCCGCAATAATTTTCTTCCCCACGCGAATTTGTCCATTTTTTTCTTTGCGGTTGAGCTGGCAGAACCTGTTGCTGCTCACGCTCTTGATGACCACGGTCTGCAGATCAACCGTGCTTGCAGACCCCACCCGATCTTCATTGATCCATTGCGCTTGCATTCCGCCCAGAAGCTTCGCCTGAAGAATGTGGAAGGCTGCTTTAAGCAGCGCACGCTTTACGTCGCCGGGATCCCTCAGTTTGTAGATAGGGGTGATCTTGTAGTCCACAACGTCAGCCTGACTGGCCACAGTTGCCGCCCAGTCTTTGTAGGTATCAACGGAGCACGTCGCCAGGTCCCCGCCGTAGCACTTCACTTTCGTTTTTGACCTCGAGTTTTCGTCAGAATTGCTTGTGTCATCCGACGCCGTGGCGGAAGCTGACGCCACCCCGTATGAGAGGCACGTTCGCGGTAAATTTTCCCGCAGCGAGCTTGGCATCTACTTCCAAAGCCTCGCCGCCCGCGTTCGAGACAGCGCCGGTGGTCGAGACTTGGACCCCGTTGAGTCGTACCGAGACCAGAGTTGCGCGCCTTCCGATCACACTGGACTGTCCGCTTTGACCACCGGCGCACGCACGCACTGTTCCGGCGGCTCGACGTCAAGGGCGACACAGGGTCTCGTCCTCATCAAAGAAGAGCATGCACGCGAGGGAGCTGATATGCCTCTGCCGCTCCCCCTCACTCTCCGCCGCCAAGCCGTCGAAGAGGCCGATGGAGAGGAGCCCCGCCTGAAGAGAGAGCTCCACACACACAGTCACGAGGGGCTGTGCGATGGCATACCAACTCGAGTTCTTTGCCGTCTTCCACGGCGCGCACTGCACTGGGCCGTGCACGCTTGATGCCATGGGCCGCCTGTCCTTCTAGCCGTGTAGTCGCGAGGGCTGCCCCCCCCCTTCCCCCCCCGCCACACCCTGTGTGTGTGAATGGAGAAGTGCACCCTTACCTCACCCTCGGCCGCTCGCTCGCCGAGCTGCTCGCGCTCCTCGAGGCGCAGGTGAGCGAGGCGGGGTGGGGCGCAAGCTGCGAACCGTCTCCTGCTCTCCTGTCGCTAGTCTCGGACACGGGGGCCTAGACAGAGGGGCCCGGCCGCTCTCTCCTTGAGGTTGCCTGCTACCGCTGCTACGCGTGTAGGAGCGAGGCGGCGGCAGGCTCCACTCGCGACTCGACAGAGGAGGAGGAGGCGACGCCAGCGCCACCCTCGTCCGCTTTGGCGCACCGTCGCATGGCGGCGGAGGCGGAGGCGGCAGCAGTGGAGGCGGCAGCAGTGGAGGCGGCCGCAGTGGAGGCGGAGCAGGCAGTGGAGGCGGAGGCAGCGGAGGCGGAGGCAGTGGAGGCGGAGGCAGTGGAGGCGGCGGCGAGGGCGTCTACTTCGAGGTCGAGATTCGGCCCGAGGGGTGGGTGCGGAAGGGCGGGAGGGGGCGGGGGCGAGGCCACGTCACCGGAAGGGGGCGGGGCAGGCCCGGACGGGGGACGATGAAACCGCGCCCCCTGCCCACCTTCGGTGTCCAGCTGTGAATAGGAGCTGTGAGAAGGGGAAGCTGTGAATAGGAGCCCCCTGCCCACCTTCGGCCAGCGCAAGGTGGCGAGGCCGACGGTGCGCACCGGGTTGGCAAGCCCCTCCTCCTCCACCACAACCACCTCCTCCGCTGCCGCCGCTGCCGCCCCTTCGCTCGCCGCCGCTCTGGCGCAGCTGCCGCCGCCTCCGCCAGAGTCGTCGCGCCTCTGGCTTGACGCACCTTAGATGCGAGGAGGAGGTGGTGGTGGTGGAATGGTCTCCGGAGGAGTAGGAGAAGTCATTAGCAGTGCGCCCTGTGGATCAACACACGGGTCTATGGCGCTCGACACGAGAGAGAGGAGAGCGTTCGGCTCTATTCCGAGGCTCTGCACAGACCTGCTGCAAGCATTCTCGCACCCCGTCGACTCACGAGAGATGCTCCGACCACACAGCTCGATATATAGAATCACTGCTGATTAACGGCCCCAGAGGCAGGGTGGCTCGACTCGCGCTGCTGATTAACTACAAGTACCACCTCCGTAGCTGCCTTGCGTAGCCATCTCGGCAGACGCCGCTAAGTCCCTCATCAAACCCTCATCAGTCCCTCATCAGGCTCGACACGCGCCGCTGCTCCTCCTCCGACGCCGCGCTCATCCGAGCAGCCTTCGACCTGCCGCAGCCCTGTGCACCTTTCTTCCCCACGCCGCCTCCATCTGCACCGACCTGGCAGTCGTCAGCGACACGCGTGATTGAGCGAAATAGGCACCCACGGGCCCCTTCTCATGAATGATCAAATGTGGGCCTCTGCGTGAGTAATCTCTCAATCATGAACACTAGGCACACGGGCCCCTTCTCATGGACGGAGAGTGGTTGAGTATCGGCCTAGTGGCCTATACCTAGCTTTCCATCATGAACTAGGGGCCCCTATCTCATCAGTGATGAGTGGCTGAATATGGGCCTTAAACTTAGCTGGTCGTCGTTAACCAGGCACTGACCCCTTCTCGCTGTGGCATCCGGCCCACTTCGAAGACTTCCTCGAACCTTCTCGGAACCTTCCGTGCAGGCGATCCGCGACATTGCCAGCCAGGAGGGGCGTGGGCTGGAGGGCTACGCCGTGTGGGTCGACTACGCGTGCGTGCCGCAGAAGCACGTGCCGTTGCAGCTGCGCGCGATCGCATCTCTCCCTGTGTACGCGGCCAACTGCGACGTCTTCCTCACGGTCGCCCCCGACACGCCAAACACGTGGGACGGCTCGCTCATGACGCTCGAGACGTACAAGTCGCGCGGCTTCTGCCGCTTGGAGATGCTCGCCAAGGTGTGTGCCTCGGGCGGCGTGGACTGCAAGATGGTGAGCGGCTGCACCGCCGACGTGCGGGACTTCCCCGTCGAGGAGATGTCGGTCGTTGGCCTCTGAGCCAGCACCTCCACCGACTGTCGTGGGGGAAGAGACGGCGGTCGAGGCGAGGGGGCAGGGGCTGTGAGTAGGTCTTTGTTTTCGAGGGGCACTTCAGCATCGAGTCCAACAAGGAGGAGCTCGTCACGTCCGCGCTCGGCCTCTACTCGCTCATCCTGAAGAACCGCCACCTCCCGCACATCCTGGCGATCTACGAGCAGGTGGCGGACAGCGGCGAGACTACCCGAGGCGTTCCCCGAGGTGGACGATGGCCCGTGATTGCCCGAGATCTGCGAGCAGGTGACAGGCAGCGCCGAGGTCAAGAAGCGCTTCTTCCCTCCCTCGTGGTCGCCACGCGCCAAGGCGGCGGACGAGTCTGCGGGGGTCGGGCACCACGGCAGAGCGACGCTGAGGCGGAGCGGGTAGGAGTATAGGGCAGCCTTCATCCAGAGATCGGTGTTCCTCTCCACACCACGCCCGACAGGAGACTTGCTGCTGCTGCTACTGCTGCTACTACTACCACTCTGCTACCTCTCGAGTGACCGCCACTACTAACACTAGGCGGAGGGTCGGGGGCGTCGCGCGGCGGCGAGCGCGAGCTGTTCCGGCCGGCGCTGGTGCGGATGCTGGAGGGGCACGTCGAGGAGCTGTCGAGGGGCACCCAAGACGGCGGCGCGGGCGAGCCGCGCGCTGTGAAGGTGTGAACAGCGCCTCTTCACACCTCCGGCGGTGCACAGGCGTCGCGAGTGAGCCTCGGGCCTTGCGCGCAGAGCGATGCAGGTGTGACTGCCGATGGACGCGTCGGTGCCTCTACTCTGGCCGTGAAAGCGAGCAGGGGCTCCTCACGCCTCTGCTGAGAATAGGCGACGGTGTTCGACCCCGCCCTCGCCCTCGCCGAGGAGGGAGAGCGCGACGCGTCGACGGAGGGCGGCGAGGTCGGCGAGAGTTTTGCCTCCCAAGTCGACCGCAGCACACCCCGTGCCGGATCGGCTTTTTGGACGACGACGACGGGAAGAACCCGCTGAGCCCGACAACGGCGACACTCTCTAGCTTGTCGCCGACCTCGATCAACTCGAGTTGATGCCGCGCGAGGCAGCGCGAGGGCGGCAAGACGCAATCGACCGCCCGCCAACACCGGCGTTCCACCGCCCGCGCCTCTGGCCGCGGCCCAGGCAGACCTGCTGCGGCTGCCTAGGCCATAGCTCACATGCATGCCCCTGTTACGTGGCGCCGCGAGAGACAGGCTCTAGAGAGCCCCCGCGATCTCTCCTGCGATCTCTCCCGTGCAACTATACAGAGTCGTGCGATCTCTCCCGGCACGGCGAGGAGGCACCCAAGGCTGTAGCGTGTAGGTACGCGGGCTAGACGGTAAAAAAAACTTGCTAGAAGAAAAACGGGCACGCCTTCGTACTCTCCCCCCTCCATTCTCTCCCCCTTGGCGCGGGCGCCCCTCACCCCCCAGCCACTGTATCGCGCACTCTAGCTGTGGCTACTACGTGTAAAGGGTGTGGATGCTGGGTTGACGGAAATCGGGGGACGCGACCCACTTCGCCACAGACGGTCCCGCGCCTCGCCACTATGACGGCGGCACGGCCGCAGCTCATGTGCGTGCCGCCGTCTTTGTCCGGAGTGAATACTCCAACGCGCTCGTCGGTGGCGTCTACACACCTACCACGCGGAACATCTCCATCGCTTCGGTGAATGAAGGGGGTTGAACCGCGCCATCCTCGATCGCCGTGCAAAGCTCGCTTCCGAGCTCCCACGGTCGCCGCCGCGCGTATAGGGCCTTTGCGGGCCTAGAGAACACACAACCCTGTCCTTTTCTTTCTCCCATTAAGCTAAAAGTACGTACACGGAGTACGGTCGGTGAGAGAGTGAGTGAGTGAGTGCGTACACGGAGAGAGAGAGAGTACTACTACTGACTGCACACGGAGGAGGAGAGTTCGTATACACGCACGGGTATGTGCCTAGAGCAGGCGGACATCGCTTCCAGGGAGGGGGGCGCGCTTCTGCTCACGCCCCCCCCCCCCCCCCCCTAGCATGTGGTGGGCACCCCCCAGCCGTTCGTGGGCTAGGAATAGCCGCCAGAGAGCCGATTTTGCCCCCAAAGTTGTGAAATCGTGGCTGAAAGTCCAACCAATATCTTGGAGAACCTGACCAGTCTCAAGGCTCATGTAGCTCCAACGGATGGTTTTACCCTCGAAAATGCTGCGAAATGAGGTGTAAAATCAAGGGCCCGGAGGGTCTAGAGGGAGACGCGGTACTCGGTCTGGAAGTCTGGGCAGAGCCCACACTCGTCTGAACCGGTGTAGGGCGCCGACGGAAGGACGACTTCGCCGCCGCACCAGAGGTCCCAGCTCACCTCGCTAGGGTACGATCCCGGCGTCGTGGTGATGGTGTAGGATGCGAGCGGGTACGAGGGCGGAGACAGAGGTGGCAACGACGGCGGCACGCCCCAAAGTCCGGATCCCTGCTCACCAAAGCCAGCCTCGCCAGACCTAGCTGCGCCCGAGCCAGCCTCGCCCGAGCCAGCCCGAGCCACGGGGAGGCCGGAGATCAGCAGCAGAAAGGCCACCAAGCCGCGACTCTTGCTTAGCCGGGGGCGGACCGCCATGCTGGATCGCTGCCCCGAGGCCGCACCGGAGCGCGGCGCCCGCTGCCCCAGCAGCAGCCAGCAGGCGCCGCACGCTTGGAGGAGCAGCACCGCCGCAGAGGCGCAGCACCACCAGCTCTCGTGGAGGGAGGGACGGCCAGGAGTGGGGGCGTCGCGTACGAAGCCGCGCGCGCCGGTCTGGAGCAGCTTCTCGCCCTGCGCGATCTCGGTGGTCGACGTGACTGCCCGAAAGTCCATTCCACGTTCCAAGTTTGTGTAACTTTGGCGTTCACCTTGTGCATCGTTGGACCGACTGGCAGGCCGTGGCGCCGCACTCTTCCGCCACCTGCGGCGCCAGCGCGACCAGATTCAGTCCACCTTCGCGAGCGAGTGCGAGTGAGAGAGAGAGGAGAGAGAGACTCACAAAAGACAAAACTCTGAGAGATAGTGAGAGACAGAGACAGAGACAGGGAGCTCAGTACGCACGTCACAACGACCTTAGTGCAGAGGCCTAGGAGGCGTGGCACATCCGTGCGCAGCAGCCTCGGAGGCGCGGTCCACTCCACTGACAGTGACACTCCACACTCCGAAGAACCCGCTTGATCAGAGCGCGTCCGGGTGCCGCAGCAGCACGCTGCAGCAGAGCGCGTAGTGCGCCGCCACTCCGACGAGCACGCAGAGGTGCCACAGCTCGTGGAAGCTGAAGACGGGCGGCCAGAGCCGCGGCGAGGCGGTGGCGTAGCACTGCGACCCGACGAGGTACGAGGTTGCGCCCACCACCCCCAGGCCCTGCTCGAGCGGCGTGAACTGCGAGTAGACGCTGCGGTACCTGCGCGGGAGGGAGGGGGCGGGCCGGGCGGTGAAGGGGAGCGGGGCGGGCGGGGACGGGGGACGGGAGGTAGAACGGGAGGCGGCGCACCAGAGAGTCGACGTGGTGACGGGCACGAGCTGAACGAGGCCCATGGCGCAGTACACGGCGGTGCGTAGGTGGCGGCCTAAAGGGGCGTGGCTCTTCCAGGTGGGAAACCCGTCCTCGATCAGCGCAGTACGCGGCGGCGCGGCGTGGAGGCCGAGCTCTACTGGCGAGAAGACGAGCAGGCAGCCCGCCGCCGCACAGCCCGCCATGATCTGGACGACGAGCCAGGCGACGGGCGGCGGCAGCAGCGTGACGTAAAGCGGCGAACCAGCAAAGGCGATCTGCAGGTAGATCCCGCACAGGTCGAGATTCCCCGCAAACGTCTCGGCGGCCTCGCTCCTCCACGGGAAACGGTGGTAACAACCACTCGCGCCAAGCATCGCAGTGGCGCCAAAGCAAGCGAGCGCGGCGGCGGCCGCCGTCTCAGTAGTGGGGCAGAGGCTGATCAGGTAGCCGCTCCAGATCGGCGATGCCAGCGCCGGCAGTAGGTGCAGCCAACCGCGGAGCAGAGGCCGAGGCCGGCCGTGGCAGTAGAAGGGCGTGCCGTGCAGTCCGTCCACGTTGAGCCAGCGGTCCTCAGACGTTGCCACGGCCTCTCGACGCTGCCACGACGCGAGCCTCTCTCTCGCTATGGTCTGACGCAGACGCGGGGTTGTTGACATGAGGCGAGGTTTCCAGCGGCGGTTTGGATGTGTATCCGGGCGGCGATCGTCGGCGGCGCTGGCGGCGTATCGCTGGCGGCGTATCGCTGGCGGCGTATCGCTGGTGGCGTATCGCTGGCGGCGTATCGCTGGCTGCGTATCGCTGGCGGCGTATCGCTGGCGGCGTATCGCTGGCGGCTATGCGCCGTATCGTGTACGCCCCGAAAGATTAAAAAAATGATCCGCAGCGTCAAAACGTCGGTGGCATGAAGGTCGCTGCAAGAATTGGTGATAAACTGCGGAGAGAGATAGGAAGTGGTAGACGCCCGAGGGTGGGCGACGGCTAACACCACACTTCTCCCCTAAAATCCCTGTGTGGTGGCGGCGTACCGTCCTCCCATCCCTACCTTGGGTTCTCTGTTTTCTTTCTTTTTCTTTTAGGCAAAACGTCCCTTGGGGTATCTGTTTTCTTTCTTTTCTTAGGCAAAACGCAAACGCGTCCTCCCATCCCTCCCTCGGGTTGTCTGTTTTCTTTCTTTCTTTCTTTCTGCAAAACGCGGACGACGGCTTCTAATAGAAGCCGTCGTCCTCACAGAAGCCGCCGTTACTAGCTAGAGCGGTGTTCACTTAGCAAAGTCCCGCTCTGAAGAGGAGGAGCGAAGGAGAGCGCGACTGAGGGAGGCGAAAGCAGCCTCTCCGAGGAAATTGACCGCTCCCGCTATGTTGAGCGGTGTTGCACTGACTTGACTCCGCTCGAACGTGCTCGGTCGGTGTTTTTCTGAGCAAGAGTCCGCTCTGAAGGTTGCAGAGCGGAGTCTTGTTAGGCAAACGCTGCTCTGTGTTGTGTAGAGTGGGGTTTGAGCTTGACGAATGCTGCTCTAGTACCTGCGAGCGGGGTTACTGAGATATAACGCCTCTCTGAGAGCCGAGAGCGGCGCGGCGCGTTTTACTTTTGGCCCTCAGCCAGCTGTGAGGATTGGTCGACATATGAACTCCGCTGGCATCAACCACGAGCAGCTACGCACCGCGTGGCCGGTCTACTCTGCCTTCTCTGGCTCTCTCGAGCCGGTCGACCCCGCGGGCATGGAGGTGCTCCGCTCCGTCTATGTGGCCAGCTGGCTCGCTGACGCCGCGATGCTCGAGGAGGCGGACGACTCCGGCCGCGATCTCACATTTCGAGGCTCCGCCGTGAGCCACATCGTGCTTGCTCCGCCGCTGGCGCCGCACCAGCTCCTCGCGCTCATTGCTGCGGCGTGGAGCGCCGACCGTTGGTACTCGCTGGTCGAGAGCGATGGTGTGCCGACGCCGCCCAGCTCGCTCCTCCGGCTTCGCGCCGGCCAGCCGCTGGCGACGCTGCGCGACGCGATAGAGTCCTCCATCGCGCGGCTGGGCGGGGAGGCCTTTGTCCGCATGGACCATGCTTCGAGCAAGACGGTCGTGCCGTGCTCCAGCTACGACGCGGTCGAGGCGAACCTGCGGTGCAGCGAGCGAACGGCGGCGCGGCTTCGCGGAATCGAGGCCGGAGCGGCAGCGGACGGGCCAGCGGAGGGGTACGTGATGCTGCGTCGCTGGGTCGACGACCTGCAGCAGACGCACCTCGAGGCGCGGGTGTTTGTCCATGCGGGCGTTGCGCGCGGGGTCAGCCTGACGGTGCGCCAGCACAGCCGGCTCGGCGAAGCGGAGGAGCGCGCGTGCATCGCTTGCCTCGCCTCGCTCAAGCGAGCGTTGCGAGCCTTTGCCAAACGCGTCATTCTTGCGACCGAGTACCGCGACTGCGTCCTCGACGTGGCGGTGCCGATCGCGGCACTCGACGCGGCGCTCCACGCAGCGAATCGGCCGTCCGGCATGCCCTCGGCGGAGGCGGAGCTGCTGGCAGGCTTGTGGCTCGTGGAATGCAACACGCCCGTCTACCTGCTCGCCACCTCGGGCTGCTTCGACCTGTCCAATGAGGCGGATAGGGAGATCCTGTGCGGCGACGCCGTCGACGCAGAGGTTGTCCTGCCGGTGCTCCTCGCGGAGTTTGAGTGGAGGACGTGGAGGATCGAGCTTAGGCAGTGAGGGGTGAGCGATACGTAAGGGGTAAGGTACAACAAAGGTAAACTCCGTTCTCCACAGACCACACGCACACCACACACACACTCGAGCACACACAGCTGAGTCTCGCGCAGTCGGGGGGTGAGAGGTAAGGTAAGGTAAGGTAAACTTCTCCACACACACGAGGTGGTGGGGCAAGGGGGGCAACCCTCGCGTCTCCACGTCTAACGACAGGAGCCCCACGGCATTCAAAGTGCAAGGCCCGGTGCGCGTGGGTGAGCGCGGTGTGTGTGTGTGTGTGTGTGTGTGTGTGTGTGTGTGTGTGTGTGTGTGTGTGTGTGTGTGTGTGTGTGTGTGTGTGTGTGTGTGTCACGTCACTGCATCCTCTGCCGGTTCCTCCCGTCGCCTCTTCTTTGTTCGAATGTTTTTCAATCCATCCTTCACGAAGCCCTCCCATGTAGCTAGCGTTCTTGGCGAATGTCTCGAAGTGGCCAGCAGGCGCTGTCTGCTCGCGGCCTGTGCGGGCCGCTCGTCCTCCTCGCCCTTCTTTTGTCCTCCCGTCCCTCCCCTCCACCATGGCCTCCTCGGCACTTCTTTCTCCATCCGCCTCGCCCTGCCTTTTCGTATCGTGCCGTTCGCCCTCCATTCGGTGACCTCCATGGCTGTCCGCGTCCTTTTGGGTGGCGCTCTCGATACCGTTGCGTCAACCTCGACGTCGCTGTCGCCCTCCCCGTCCCCGTCCCCGCCGTCGCCCGTGCCTCGGTTCGCGTCATCGGTAGCGTCTCCGTTGCCCCCTCGTGCTCCGCCGTCGCCCTCTCTGCTCGGGCCGTTCGCGATTTCGCTCCTCCTGCGTGTCGCCCCTCCGTCTCCTCCCCTGCCTTCGTCGTCATCGTCGCTGTCGCGAAAGCCCTCCGGTCCCTCGATTCCCTCGTCTATCCCCTCCGCTGCGTCGTCCCAGTTTATATCCTCATCCTCTGTGCGCGTTGTCGTTCCCTCCCCCTCTCCATCGTTGTCGCCTCCGTCGACTGTGGCGCTGCCTCTTCCCTCGCCTCCGTCCTCCTCGTCTCGCCTGCCATCGTCCCGTGTCTCCTCGTCCTCGCCATCGTCTTGGCCGTTGTCTACCTGTTCATCGTGTCCCCTGCCGCTTCTGGCATCGCCGTTGGCTTCCTCTCTCCCCCTTTCCTCCCTGCCCCTCTCGCTGTCTGGTGTTAATGGACCCCCTTCCTCTCCCTCGCCACCGTCACCGTCACCATCCCCGTCGCTCCCGCCCTCCATCCCCGCCGCCCTTTGTCTCACATTCGTCTCTGCCATGTCCGCCGTCGCCGCCGTCCTGTCTGCTGCGCTCGGTGCTCCGAGGTACAGTCGCTTATTGTTGCTCAGGATTAGCTCACGCACCAGGACAGCCTCCTGCTCGTTACTTTGGCTTGCCGATATGCATCCAAAGTTCCACGCTAGCTCCTCCCTCGTCACGTCTATCTTTTTGCAGTATCTCGCAAATGCCGTCCGGGCTTGCTGGGGTGTTATTGCGTTCGGATCCGCCTTCGTCCCCGCCTTGTATCCCATCTCCTTGCGGTGGCTCTTGTATGAGTCCCCATATGACCATGTGATTTCTTGGCCCTCCTTGACTCCTCTCTCTGCAAACAGGACCATCACCTGCGCAGCTGCCT